CCTCCCTTCGTCGTTTTTCCACGGGATTTATTTGTTGCCCAGTGGAAACACTTCGCAACGACATCCCCTCTCTCCATACTTTGGCCACGTAATTTTCAAAATTCGCGAGAACCACGAGAAATTGATCTCACGGATTGGTGGATTTTTCCCTTCATTTGTCGATCACTCTGATTTCCACTTTGCAGCTATCGCGGAATGTTTTTCCAAAAATGCGACAACAGATAGATGATATTCTTCTTTTTTTTTTTTTTTTTTGTTAAGTCTGGTCTCAGTCATGGAGAAGAGGAATGAAACAAACGAAAAGCCAGGGATCGTAGAAACAGAAATTTGTCTGAAAATTCGAACGTGCGAGATACGTGATACGGGCGACACACGGTGGACACGTATGGCGAGCGTGAAATTAAAATTCGAATTGGGTATCGCGTGATGGGTCCAACGATGGCCCTTACGTTCGTTTCTTTTTCAATTACGGTATCACTTTCGATTCGAGACCGCCGGGATTCACTTACCAGCTACCGGTGGTCCGCCGATGGATCCGTGTAATTGGAGTGGTTCCCCGGCGAAACTTGGCTGAAACATTTAATCAACATTCTCATCAAGCCTCACGCCACGATGGAAGAACGTGTTCTCGTGATAACCTATGGATAAAATTCCTCCTGTCCCGTTCTCCGTTTCACCTCCGGTCCGGCGACCCAGTTTTCGTTTTACGCGAGGATTAACCTCTTCCTGATCGCAGATCGTTTACATCCACGAATCTCGCAGACAAATCACACGAGTAGATTACGATTTACAACTGTTTGAGTTCCAGTTTCACGCCCGGCTTTCGCTCATCTTGATCGTAACGTTTACATTCTCGAATCTCGCGGAACTTACGACTGTTACAAGGTGTTTAGTATGGCGATGAAAATTAGGATATTTGGAAAAGTGAATATCCAACTGGGCATTACTCGCTTGTGTAGCGTAAATTCGTTATGTTTTTGCCACGTTTTTAGATGTGTTAAAAGTATGTTTTATACGTAATCCATCCGTGTTGAACATATAGATAAACGGATAAACGTTTGTTCGTGTATTGTAAGTGGAAAACGAACACTATGAATATTTCAAGTATAATTAGCCCTACAGAAAATATTATAATTGTGAAATATATATAATTGACGAGAGACTTGAATTTTATTGAAATATTTACTCCGCTGTTAACGCTGGAATGTTAATCGCGTTTCAAAGTTACTCAACTCATTTGTAAAGGATAATCAGCCATAAAATGCATACTAATTTTCATCACGAACTTATTTACACAATCGAATAGGTAAAATTGAACAACGAGGTCTAATTAAAATTTTTCACTTCGAGAAACAACATTAAATAAATTATTCTCTTTCGACGAATATTGCTGTTATTCAAACTTCTGTGAGAAGAGAGACTCCATTCAGATGAGACGCAATTTCGACACTATCCTGATTGCGTTGTCCGATGGAGCAAACGAATGAAAATAGAAAGTAACAATGATCATTGTAGTAGTATCGCGAAGATCGTAAAAGTCGCCGGTTGGTTGTCGCGTCTCAGGCTATATAGAACGATGGCACGAAGGTTTAAAGGATCGCCACGAAACTCTCCGGATCATCGAGAAACAATAAAACGTCCGAGTTGTCGTGGCAATAATCCGGAAGTTGTAGAATCGATCGCGAAAGCACGTCGCAGCTGCCAGATCGGAAAGCGTTTATGGGCTAACGAGCTGGATTTTTCAGCGATCCCTGCTTCTTCAAATTGAATTTCTTCTCGACGTTTTGAATTGGTCGACGGTCGGGGATAATGTGCTCGTCGACGGAAATTAAAAAAAAAAAAAAAAAAAAA